AAGAAAACATTTTTCACCTTCATGAAAGAGAAGCTAAAGCTTTATAGGTCTACATTACTAGCACCAACATTACATGTGTTTGAGGAGGAGCTTTTCACTCTGTTTTCATTGTTTTCATTACAACTTGGCACCTAGTGTCCACTCTGGTCAATAAACATCTCATAGGAATACGTGGACTTTTCAGTCACACACAAAGTGATTCTCTCAAATGTAGTATCTACTAATTATTTCTATGGCAGCAATTGTGCTTCACAGCCCTGTTTGAAACTACCTTAAGAAAAACACATTTCCTCTAATGACTTTCAAGAAAATAAGAGCCAAAATGAATATGAGAAATGAGTTCACATTGAAAATTGGATCCTTATTTACAAGTATTCTGTTAAGAGAAATGAAATATTAGTTACACAACAGTGTTTTGTTTTTCTAACATTAGATACTTGACTTTTTAGCAAGTTGCATTGAAGGAAATGCACTTTTAAGCAAACAAGAAACATACTCATCAGATATCTCAATGTTGAGCTTCTGTTTGGTTTGGCTGAGAGTAGTGCGGTAAAGTTTAGTGGCCATTTCAATAAGGTGATCACTGCTGAGCAGGAAATCTCCTTTACCAGCTGCTCCTGAACCCTGAAACAGAAAGGAAAGTAGTGAGGACTACCAAAACTAGAATATAAAAAATATTAAACACCAGCCAAGCAGAAGGTTTTACAAGGAGTCTTCTCTTCCCAGTGCAATGAAACAACAGTCTTTCATCTTGCAAATTAAATAGGGATGCAGTGCAGTGTATTAGGATCAAAATGCAATTCATTCTCAAATAAACTACAAATTTCTTGAGAAAGTTAAAAAACCCTTCTGAGAGGTCACCTTCACTTGTTCCACAAAACTGTAATGTCTCTGTATCCCTCTTCTGCCTACCACACAGCAAGCTCACAATATTTTCAGAAAGGAACAGAAACCAATTACCAACAGCAGTATTAGGTATGGTCAGTATGAAAGGTGAAGTGGTCAGTATGAAAAGATACTATATAAGATGTTCTTCAAATCCATTTAAGCTAGAACGCAAATGCCAGCTTAATGATTTTAGCAGAGCAATACTGACAGTGCAGTGAAGCAAATATAGCACCGAATTAAGTTCTTCAGAATGAGTAACCAAATTAGCTGTGCCATAACATGGATTTCTTGGCATCCTATAAAGGAGAAATATTCTGCCAGTGTGTCAGGAAGAATTATCTGAGCAGCTCAAAAGGAAAACACTGCCACAAGGTACCCCAACTAGATTAAAGGCCTACAAATGGAAAACTCCAGTCCTAAAGAGGCTACAGTAAAAGATGAAGTCTGATTTTCACAAGTAAATGATTGTTCATAATGTAAGAGCTGTTCCCATTTTACTTAAGCTGTTTTAAGTCAAAGTTTTTACAGATATGGCAAAGCTCAATAGACTTCTAAACCTACAGGCTAACCACTAGATTTAATGCTACAAGATAATTAAACATTTTTTTACGTCACTGCATATAAACCAGTCATATTACTGTACTATAAAGTCGTAACCAACCTCCTTGAGGTGCACTGCAAAGAAGCCATCATTTTGGGAGCTCATGGACACTTTAGTAACATCTCCCAGTGGAACCTCTGACTTGATATTCCCAGATTTTTGATCCGCAAGAAGAACATTATTTTTGGTTAATAAGAAAATCCTGGATGTAGCCTATGAAAATACAAAAATGCAAACCATTATCCACACAGAGAGAACTGGTCTTTATTGATCACCTTCTAAGACTACAAGCAGTTCACAGAGTGAATAAGCTTGGCCCACATTACTGAACATGAATATCTGATGTTCAGTAAAAGCTGCAGATCAGTTAAAATCAGGTCAAATTCATTTATGTGTCTAATTATAGATTGAGAAGCTTAGCTCAATTTGGCACACACACTTAGATATGAACAGTTCTTCTAATTACTAGCTTACAGTTATAAAATTCAGAAACTGAAACTCAGAAACTATGCAAATCAGGATAACCTCATTTCTCACACTCTGTCAATCTCCAGGAAAACCAACATAGCTTTTCAGTGATGGCTAATTCAGGCCTCACTATTCACTGTTATTCACCAAAACTGTGTTGCAGAGCAACACAAATCACGCAGGTATTTTCAATGTTATATTCTCCTCCCTTTATCTATTAGAATTACTCTTTAGGAGGATACATATTAATATTTTCAAACAACAAATACTTTTAAAGCATCTATGCATGTTCTTAGATTTGTCTTAGAAAGTAAGACGAAAGATAAATGAGAACTTAATCTACATACAGCTTATTCTCCTGTAAAATTTTAAATAATTAAATCTTAACTATTATAATTAAGAAGTAGCTGTCTTAAGCACTTAAGCACACAGAGCCATAGCGCTCTTTTTTTTTTTTCTTTTCTTTTTAAATCTTGAGAGCTGTAGACTATGTAAGTACAGGAAAGATATTGTCTTCCTTTAATTAGTTTATTCTAAACCGGAAAATTAACTTGGCATCAACAACAGGCAACCTAATTTCACTCCTACAAATGCATAAATAACATCTACATCCAAGAAGCTGAGATCTACTACTTCTAATATTTAGACAGATATGGTGAAAACAATTACATTTACTAAGAGAGGATAATACTTCCTGTTTTAATAAGTATAATTTAAATGCAAAACAAGTTATATGTTGGCAGAATAAAAAAGTACCCAGCATATTTAACAGCTTTATTCAAATGATACAAGAAACTTGCCAACTTGCCTCTTCATTCCAAAAAGCTTTTGATATCAATCAGAAGAAAGACAAAGCTAACAGAGTACACCACTCACAATTTTAAAACATAATAAAATGTGATAATCAGGAGCTTGATCAACAGCATAAACCTTGAAAGGTTAAGTTTTCTAAATACTTGAACAAGAACAATATTCTCTAAATATTTATTTTCTTCAATTGGCAAATAGAAGATCTAAGTTTGGTACAGAGATTACTTTTAGTTGTGAATCAATACAGCCTGTTACCAGTTGATGAGGTGCCAGTTTTGTTTGGAAAAGCCACTGAAAAGTACAAACTCAAACAAGATTTTAGTAACCTTGATGTAAATTTAAAATGGTTGCTTAAAATCACCTGTTCATATAAATCCAACATTTCTAGTCCTGCCCTTAAAAAAAGGACATTTTTTAAAATCCTCAGACTATTACACGACAGAAATGAAATCTGCCTCTCAGTTTATTTATAACAACAATTATCTACTCTTCCAGATAAAGCAATGCCATTTTATTACCTTCCCATTAGCTCTATTGATCTTATTCACAACTTCTGCAATAATGATCTTTTCATCCACAGCATCTTTCAGTTTTTTGTACTTGGGGTTCTTGCTGATTTCCAAGTAAGCCCCTTGGAACGGCTGCCCAACACTGCCCAGCAAAAAGACAAGAGAAACATGGGTTAAATATGAATCACAGGTAAGAAATAAACCTCCTGAAACCGCTGCGTTCTGCTTCAGGCTTCATGGAGCCAGGAGATGCATCAAATACCATTTTCAATGACTATTAACTGCCAGAAACTTCCTTAAACTTTGATACACTCTCTGCCACAGAAAATAATTTGCTGCCTCATTTTTAGCGAAAGAATACTTTGATCAACCCAGAAACTTCTACTCACAATTTCTACCTGTTTTAAACAACAGCAAGGCAAACTAAATTGCAACCATATAACAGAATAATTACAGCAATACATAATTGAATGCAAACAGGGCTCTTAACACTGTGTTCGTTTATGCAGCGCAATTGTCCTCAACCCTGCTGAGAAGCTGCAAACTGCAGCGTCCGCTCTTCAGGTCGGTACCACCCCTCACTCAGGGCAGTGATGTTGGCTTCAATCTGTGCCATGCGGGTATCAGCTAAAAATAACTTGGGAATTGCTACAGAGTAGGGTGCGTATATCTCCCAGTATATTATCCTAGGGGAAAGGAGAAAGGAGAAGGAGGAGGGGTAAGAAACAGTAAGTATATTAGACAGGGAATCCTGTATATATTAACAGCACAGTGATGATGAATAAAGAGAAATTTATCACCAAATACAGTAACAGGATTGCTTTTTTTCCTTCCTCGGGAAACATTTTCCAATTGAATGGGCCAAAATGCTACAGATATCAGACATAAGTACATCCTTCCATATACAAGCAATTTTGATTTAAAATTCACCCAACAGTCTCTGTGCAAACAGAGGAAATAAAACTTGAGCAGGACTGCCACCTCTGCTCTTTTGCAGTAATTTAAGAGTGACAGACAAGAACTTGCCTTCGAGATCTGCTGCTGTTTGTTAAATGTGTACCAGCTCTTCATCAAGACTTGTCGTGCTTGCAAATCACCCCATCTTTATCCACTTCAGGGTTATACAGTAAGAGCTTCGCTATCAGTTAAGAATTACTGAATACAGTCATTGCTTGCTTTGTTTGGAAGTCACTTTAACTAATCACCCTGATTAAATTACAGTCAAAGTATAAATGCAAAGCTTTACCAAGACTAGAGCCCAAGAGGAACCAATTAGCACTACCTTTGTAATTGCACCTCTGGCACTCAGGGAGACAGAGGAGAAAAGGAAGGGTACTGGTATTTCAGTACTCATGAAGTCCCACTCTGTTCTTAAATAATTATATTATGCAAAGAAAAATGAGACACATCCTATGAAACATTATCATACTAACTAATAGAAACTTTATACAGTAATTTCCTCCACCCTTAGGCCAATTAAAAAACCCAACAGGAGCTAATCAGCTCTGACTACAAGACAAAAAGATGGAAATGTTTCTAAATGAGTGCAGGGTGGGGAAAGCATTCTAACTTTCTACCATGTTGGAGCTTTGGGTTTTTTCATTTTTATTAATTAGCATTATGAAACCATAGTCACCAAAACTGTAGATTCCCTGTGGACTTTGTCCCTAATCAAACGATAATGACCTACAAGCTAAAACTGAAATGAATCAATAGTTATCCCTCTGTCACATACACCACTTAAGAATGTCTTGGATAAAAGTAACTTAGATATATATTTTGCTGTATAATATTTCATTGTTCAGTCTTGGTGTAAAACGTACCAAACCAGGGATATAAACAAAATTCCTTCCTTCCCGGAGCTCTATGCTGATCAAATGTATACCAACTCAAAGCAAAAAAACCTGCTTGCTCCTAGAAAAATTCAAAGGCAGCATCTTTCTCTTTTCCAAACAGCATAAAAAGATATCCCAAAGCAAATAAGGAGCATACCACACGCTAACATATATAGCCATTAAATAAATGATCTACTGACAGGAAGAACAAGAAACACATTCTGAGTCCATTATAGGAAAAAAGGAAATGTCTCAATAAAAAATGAAACAAAACAAGACCAATAAAACACACAAACAACCAAGCAGGTCTTGTCCATACATGGAACTGCCCTCGTCAGCTCTCGCAGATTCCTGTTCCTCCCTCTACTGAACCTTGCTTCTTGCTTTACAGTGCCTTGTTTCAGCTCAGCTCAAACTATGCCTTCTAAAAGAAAACTCTCCTCAGATGGACAAGACCTTTGTTTTCAAAAAAAAAAAAAAATTCTAAGCTGATATTCACTTAAAAAGCTCAATTCAACTTCTTTTAAGTACATCAGATCTCTATTTTGTCAAGTGTTACTACGCATGACAATAAGCAATACAAATGTCTTGCTTAAGTAAAATCAGATACTACTGCACTTTCTTGAGTAATGTTAGCTCTGCAGACAGCAATGACAAGAATTTATCTGTTTCTAAGAACTCAATAATCTGGGAAACAAAAAACTTATTTGCAGAGATTTCACATTTTTAAAGTCTCCAATGGAAAAAAAATCTAAAACGGAAATTAACTTCTAAGCTCTTATTCTTAAGTATCCTTTCAAAAATATATATACCAATATATCTAACTCCTAAATTACCTAGCCTTCACCTGAGAGCATTATGCTGAACGTACAAAGTTTGAACACAGGACAGCTCCCTGTCACGCCTCATCTGGGAGTGACATTGTCACTTGCAGCCTTTCAGTTCACTCTGCATTTATTGGCTGCAGGAACCAGCATAATAGAAACTAGGGGAAAGGATGAGAGTTATTCCTTTTAAAGGTTCTCCAAATTTTTACAATGTGAACAGGTCATGGGCGGTTAGAACAACAAAACATCATGGTTTCTGGACAGAAGTGCTCAGTATCACAGGATTAGTGGGCTGCAACAAGATCTAAGTTAAAAGTAAACTGAGGTCAATTGCCAGGATTGTAAGTAAAATGATGGAGGGACACTGTCCAATAAGGAAAATGCACTTTTCTGCATAAGATGAAAAGCAAAATCTTGCTTAGTTTCCTAAATCTATGTAAGGATACTGAATTTACAGTACGCTAAAAGCAGCAGAATAAGTCATTACCTGGCCGGATATAAAGCCTTCTTGTCCTTGAAAAGTTCACTTGCTTCCAGTTTTTCTTCATATATAAGCTTCTGCTGATCTGTGAACTGGTCTCTGTACTTTTTACACTACAAAACATGATACATTAAACAAACAAAAGAATTATCCTTCCAAATCTGATTTGAAGGAACAGCATCACAGACTAATGTTTGCGTATTGCTCAAGATGCACATTCTTTGTATACTTCTGACGTGACTCAGCTCCATCCTACATGCCACTGTGGCACGGTAAACAAACAGCAGAGGTGTTTTTCTCCTTCTAGAAGGAGAAAATAGATTCTAGGTACTTTTGAATTACACCAAAACCAATAACTAAACATCTAATTTAATCACGTTGCGTGTGAACATGAGCTTAATCTATCGGGTGAAGTCACTGGAAGACTGTGCTAAAAAGGTTCACAGAAACATATATAGTTCCACGACTGTGGAAGTTTATGTAAGCAGAGAAGAACAAAAAAACACAGCTGAGAGGATGAATTTTGCAGGCTCAGAAAGAAAAACTGTTCCTTGACAATTCACAGAAAATACAGCCCATAAGATCAGTAAAATGTCTCATCAGCACTTACACAGATTCTCGCCATTCTCTCCAACCGAAGATCCAAACCAAATTTCAGCTAACCACAGTTCATAAGTAAAAAATTCCACCCGGTATTTCCAGTGTTAGTCTAAGAGCTATTCCCAGCCCTGGCCATGGACACGAGTATTATAAGCTACCAATTAACAGGCAACAGGCATACTGCTTAACTGTTACATTAAAAGCTGATGGCAGGAAGAAATCCTAACTCCAGAAAGGAGTAGGCAGGATAGTTACACTCCTTGCAGGCCAAAGACAATGATCAAAAGCCATACTTCTTCCAAAGAAATAAAATCATCCTGGCTGGAATGGGAAGAAAAACATCCTAAAAATAGGCTCTTCATGAACAAAACTACTGAAAATCATGTGATGAAGTTCTGTACACATTGGACCAGAATGTGTCCTACCCTCCACAAATGGAAAATCCTCTTTAGCTCCTTGTGAGTTGAATCCAAGAAAAGGTAAGGTCTTGCTGGCCAGTTTTTATCTATTGGTGATAAAGAAGGTATCTTATTCTTCATTTCCATGAAGTATTTTTGCATCTGTGATAAAATTGAAGCAAGATTTTTTTATTAATGTTCAAATAATGGAGTTATTGACATAAGCAAGGAAAAGCAGATGCTCTGCAATTAAAAGCACAGTTACCAAACTGCAACTCTCAAGTTTTGATAAACCTGAATATGGATTTTAAAAGCCAAGTATACCAAGAAATGTGGATTAAGATATTATACAAGTATGGTAAATGCTTAATTACTGCCATTCTCACACATTCAAAACACTATTAATATCCTTTCTTTACAGCGTCAGAATATTTAAGCTGTCAATTTTCTGTATGCTTAGCATGGACATTTCCTTACAAAGGCTACCAATGCCATAATACACCTGTTATTTTTGCTAGAAAATAAAAAATTAAAACACAGAAAATGTACATGTGTTTTGTACAGATATATACATACAAGTCTCTGAAGGGTAAATTCATAAATTTTTCTTCCAGCATTGGCTCTGAAGAATTTCCGGTACTCTCTACGGACCTGAGAATTTAAACAAACCCTCAAAGTGAATACAAAGAATGACTTTGTTTCCACAGGTACTCTTTTATAAAGCTCTCAGGCAGAAAATACTAAAAAAGCACACAAACATGCAAAGTGTTCCCTTAAATAAGAACACTAACTGGTACATCTGAAATAAATGAACCAGACCGTGGACCAAGAGGTCAGAAAGTTACCTTGGATGACTTGAGTATAGTAATTTGCAAATTTAACTGAGAATTTTAAATACTTTCCTCTGAAAAGGCAAGATACTCAAACATTGTTTAATTCACAGCATTAATCCATTTTCATAGGCTTTTGCATAAAACTGGACTGGAAAAAATGAGGTATCAGCAGCAATATATATTTTATTGTGTCTGAAGCAACACCGAACTGATATTAACTACATAGTTACCTGATGAACTGCTTCTGATTTTTCTCCTTTAAGATTCTTAATACACAGAGTTTACTATAACAAAAAGTGGGGTTTTTTCAGAACAGACTTATGCATGTCTTTCACACAAGCAGTCTTAATTCTAAAAGGAAAGTAAGTTTTTGGTGTTTGATTAAGAGCAAGAGAATCAATATAATGGTTGTTTAATGTCAGCAAGCCTGAGAGTTCTCCTAAAATTTATTAAAAGGAAAAAAAAAATAATCAAAAAGTCATCACTGAGAACCATTTTTGCAGGTGATACTGTTTGGGTTTTTTTATATGTGCTTGTAAATGCAAGTTTCAGAGTACATGTTTTGCCCTTGGTATTTCTCTCAGTGCTAATTAGCATAGTACCTCAATTCCCCGCCCCAGAAAACCCAATCTGAGAGACAGCACAACTGGTTTGCAGTTTTATGTGAATCCCAGGCTCACGTCAAGTTAGCTGAAACATCCCCCAATTTTTTTTCAAACTTTGGCACAGCCTGCAACACACCTGTTAAAAGTTTTGAGCAAAAACCAGGGAAAACATCGTGGCTTTGCATAATTTACCCCAGAGCCAATTTAGTGGTTTTAGCTAACTCACTATGTGTTGCTGAGTTCACTGTAACCAGAAAATAAAGGGAAACCTATAGAGGAAAAAATCACATCAGCTTAGAAGAAAAAGTTTGCTTGGCTTATCCTGGCACACCTTCTGCCCCATACTAAGTGTTGTGCATTTTAAAATAAGCCAGCATTTTGAAAGCAAGAATCTGTCATCATTCTGGGATTTAAAAAAAACCCACAGATAAATGGGCTTTGCTTAATTACACGTTAAGATGCATCAACAAAACGGAGAGCATTCAGCTGTCTTAATTCTATGCAAATACAGCACTTAATTTTTTTTCCTCCTCACTTTATAAGAAAAATTCTTAGAGTTCTCATTCACTGATTTTCTGTAAGGTTTAGTGCTCTATAATTAGGGTACATCCGTTATTTATTATTCTGGGATGGAAATTACCACATTCAAAGCCACTCCAACCACAATCATCCCAAATCTCATCATGTTCTCACAGACTGTCTTTAATGATATTGCTTTGTATTATTCTTCATGAGCTGCAAGGTGTGCAAATTAATTTGGAACAAAGGGACTAATATACACCCACACATCCTATTGGCGCTGCAGGGAAGCTGCAAAGCAAGCACTGAGAAATGCAAGCTGTTCCAGAAATGCCTAAATCTGGAAAGTACCACAAATGCTATTAAAATCTACTGATAATACAATTTTTTAAAAAGACTAAAGAATTAATAGTTTAATCTTGATCACTTGTATCAATTTTAAACCTTCACCTCTCTATGTCATGGCTGAGAATACTTTGCAATTAGACAAATAAGAATTGTCTGTAGTAACAGTGATATACTGGAATCACAGATTATGTTCATATTCATTGTTTCAGGTGAGACAGAAGTGCTGCTTGCACTACTTAAAAAATACATTGAAAAACCACACCATAGACAGGCAGAAACATATTCCTGCTGTAATGTGCCTTAAAGGTTTTGGATTCATCAGTTTTCATCTAAATGATGCTGTTTGATATAAAACAGCCTCTGAGTTCTCAGGAGGGACATATTCTTGTTTTAAAATCACAAAAACAGACAAACTTTGGCAGCAATACCTGAAGTGTGATTCTGATCTGCAGAAGGACTTCTTAAAATGGCTTCTTTGTATTTCCAGCTCTGGTTTCCATGTATGTATTGTAATGGATTTTTTTATATATACCATATACATAGACTATATATAATTATATGTTCAGGTATCATATATATAATTATATCACTATTTTTCCCATTTCATTACTGTTAGAATGAGAATGAGAGCTGGGCTCTACTCTGCATTATCAAGCAAATTGTTCCCTTTTGTATTTCTGTAGTATACAACATCCCTGTTAGCAAAAGTGATGTCCAGCCAAACACAACTGATTCAGGTTTCTGCAGTTCTCCAGGACCACATCTGTAGATCTATGTTTGAAAACTGTGTTATGTAAATCACTTGGGCACAGACCTGAAACATCTCAAGATGCCATTTTCATAGTCTATTTACAGAGCAGAACTACATTTTTACAGATTACAAATGTGTTTTCTTTTGTCAACCAGGCCTTGAAAGCAAGGGACAGAAAACAAAAGGTTCTTGCATATCTGAATTTTTCTGGGAATTCATGGCTGCCAGCAGCCATAGGTAATGGCATGCAATGCCATGCCCTAAAAAGGCTGGATGGAAGCGTCAGGACGTTATCATTAGCTTTACATCATGCCCTTGACACTAGGGTCAGGGGTCTAACGTGAGCAGCAGTGAGAGTTGAACAGCTCCATCCAACTTCCCATTCAAACAAGCAGAGGTCACAATAAGAAAATACATCCTTGTAATCTTTCCAGATAGGATCTTTGCCAGCGTAGGTCAGGTTTTTAAGTCAACAACCATAACAGGGTCCCTTTAATCTGACATTTGTCTTTCAATTGGAAAATCCTGATATGACAAAAACCACTGATGCCTAAATACTGCTGTAAATGAGGCATTTTCAGCTTATGAATGTTTCAGTAAAGTCCATGACAAAATTAAGCAACGTAATTCTGTGTAAAAATCATCCCTCCTAGTGAGCCCGCATAACTGCTTGTTTACGAAGTGTTAGTAAGGTGCTATGCTTTACTGAGTTCATGTTGACAGACAGGAGTTTTTGAGAAAGTACCTTCAGTCCAAGCCAGTAAGCCCAAATGACTGCAACAGCATGCTTACGCCTAGCCTCCTCCTTCAAGCGTTTCAATTCCCTTCGAGCCTAAAAGGTTTAGATAGTGAACAAAAGAGACAGCCCGATGCAGATAGCACAATGACCAGCAAAAGGCCTCTCCCAAACAGAACAGCCAACTTACAATCAAGATACAGAAAGATGGAAGAACAGCGTTTAACCTTTAAAACTCAACCCATCAGTGTGAACTGGTGTGAATCATAGAATCACAGAATGGTTTGGGTTGGAAGGAACCTTAAAGATCATCTAGTTCCAACCCCCCTACCATGAGCAGGGACAGGAGGTCAACAAAGCCTCTGCTGCTGCTTAAGTGGCATGTATAGATAAGAATTTCGTCAGTCCCATTATATGCTATCAGTGTTTCCATCTTCTCTTCTGTGCACACCTCACAATCAGTGGTAACTATCTCGTGACTTGATTCTAATGGAGAACTTTGCCTGCAATTGCATCATCAAAATGATGTGTATGACAATCAAGACTTACTAAAATCTCACTGTCTAGTCACTTCTTCCACTGGCAAGTGCCTGGGGAGAACATAATCAACTCTGAAGCTATGTATGTAGCGATGAATTACCGGCACTGTATTGAGGGCTTTTATTCTGAAGGTTATTTTTTATTTTGATCTTTATGTACTTTAAAAAAAATTTCTCCAGCCTGGTAAATAATATCTGTCTGTACGCAATGAAGGGGTAAACCCCCCAAACCTAGTGCCTTCCTCATGTACAGAGACAGGCACCTACCTACATTTCATCAATCATTCCCAGTTTAAGAAAGCACTTTGCAAAGTATTCTAAACACAAAGGTACGTGTGGGCAACTTAATGGAATCTCACACTTTAGGAGACACCAGTACATTTGTTATTCAGTTATCTGATGATAAAAGTCAAGCAAAACGAAGAGTTCCAGTGCTATAGGATGAGCAGTGCTGGCAATATATCTGCAGTTCTCAAGTTATATGTTGTCAAACAGACTTGTGCAACAGCAGTTTCAGCCTGCGCCAGTTACCCTTTTCTGACGTAGCCAGAAAGGGTAATTTGCGTTAGATGCAGGCTCTCATAAAGAGTATGTTTTCACTCATCTGCTTGGAACAAAAGCTCCTACTACACAGCACTGTAAAAACAAGGACTCTGCAAAGCTAAGTGTCTGTCTGTCTGGTGAAAAGGAAGGAAACTGAGTACTTGTGGTCTATAGCTTTTTTTTTTTTCTTTTTAGTAAAGCAAGTGATCTCTGAAGGTCACTTTCTGAAACTTTTGTTTTACATATTCTCCTGGGAAAAGATAAAACATCACACCAATAACAAGTTTTATCTTTTATCAGATACTGTAATTCTTTTTCTAATCTTAATTCAATTTAGATTATCTTCAAAGTTATATATATTATTATATTTAGATTATTTATATTTAAGGAATAAGGTGGCAATTTTTCATTAAATTCCTGTGAGCCAGTTGACAAAAATAGCTATTATCCAATCTACTAAATATTTAAATGAGGAGTTCTAACACAGTTAACACTATTGCATTGTTTTCTGGATAAACATCTTAAACCTAGGGAAGTCAGTATCATTTCTGCAGTACTGAGCAATTTGGGGGGTGAAAGGAACTCTGGTTAAAAAGGAAGTACATTATCAATGTATTTCATTTAAACAAACATAGAGGAAACTGTATGCCTGTCAAATTATATAGCTATCTAGATATCAAGCCAGAACTGAAAAGATGCAAAGTCTCTCTAGTGTGAGGGAAATTCTGCACATTTCGTTGGATTCCCAGGGCTGCCATTTAATTAGAAATCTAATAGATTTATATCAACATAGCAAAGGTCAAACTTTGCATTATACTCCAGATGTAATTTGAGCACATTTCTTCCTCAAGTTGTCAAGGTGTTCTGTCCCCTACCACCCCTCCAACCTAAATAATCACTGGAAGATATTTTAAACTTAATGTATTTACTGAATGTGGTTTTCAAATACATTACAAATTTATTAATTGAAACCAATAAATTTTTGGCCTCTAGTGAACAGCATTTCAAATGTTCACATAACCCACAACTGCAGGCTGGGGATTAGCAAGAATCTTTCAGTGGGACTTTGCTTCTGAAAACAAACAGCTGATGCTGGAATTCCTGGGATTTTTCTAGGGCTGTTAAGTTTAGAATTGCAAACGAACATAATTTTCTGCTAAAAGATCAGGTCATAAAACCGTGCTTTACTTGTACTTAATGAAATTTTCTTACTGGTTCAAATCACAGCCAGAAAATCAATTAAACCAATTAAAACTAACACTTAGTGAAACTTAACAGCATTGCTTTGAACTTGTAAATTAAGACAGTCCAGGGTGCAGAATACACAGCCTGGTGAAAATCTCAATTGGGTCACTAACACAGTGTCACTGAAAGCACTTGTTCGGGAGGGAAAAAACCACCCCAAAAAAACCCAACCTCCTCTCCCCACCAACCATGCTTTGCATATTTACATGTAGTTAAATGCATTTCCTAATTTGAGAATACTGTAGTCCAGTCATTTTTAATCTAGTCTAATGGCTTGTTAGTGCAAATCCCTACTTGGCTGCCATGCAAAGAATTTCCTACTCTACAAAAAAATGACATACAGAATGTTGTCAGATTTATTAAGTGTGTCATGAATGGAAATGGAAGGAATCAATGATCATGCTCTATTATTTTAAAGTCAATTGTATTAGTCCTGAATTCTCACTATGTACTACTGGTTAAATGTTGATATTGTTGGGTAATGAAGAGGGGCATGTGATATGTGCATGAAGTACCTTATATCCAAGCCAGTAAGCCCAAATAACAGCAATAGCATGTTTATTTCTAGCCTCCTCCTTCAGTCGTCTCAGTTCCCTTCGCGCCTGTGATGCATTTGAAAATGGGATATAGAAAAGCTTAGGAAAGAAAAGGTTACTGCAAGTTCCCAATGGTGCAAGAAAGAAAGAAAGAAACCATTCACTACAAACAGCAAATATTAAAAGCGTGTCCCAGCTTCCCAGATTGCACCAGCTAAAACATGTTAGCAGCAAAGAGAAACATAAAAATCAGTAGTTTAGGCCACTGAAAATATTCCCAGACAAGTTTATCCTAAAGGGCCTTCTTCATTCTACGCACAGATAACTATGTGCACAATTTGTTGCCATTTTCTTACCTGGGTACCACGCCAATAAGCGGCAATTATTGTGGCAGCCTCGTTACAACGCTTCTGATGCTTAAGTTCCCGAAGAAGCTTCCGAGCCTGTAAACAATTGAAAACATTATTTCATTCAAATAAATAAGTATAATTTTTTAATGCATTTAAAGTAAGACAATGCAACCTGTAAGTCTAGGCAAAACCAAAACACAATGCCTCTGAACCTCCAAGTGAATGAACTATTAAGTGCTATGCCGCCTAACATTTGCTGTTCCAGGGAGGATTCTGTGCACAAGGGAGAGCTTGGCACTGGCACTTCAGGTGATCTTAGTTCGATGTTTAGTTTTCTCCCAGATTTGCTGTATCACCTCAGATATCTATATGCTTGTCTGTACAATGGCAACAATACTTTTCCTCCACACAGTATATGTCTTATCCATTTAGACTGCAATAAAGAATAAATCACAAGTAAATTGCTTGGCTTTAGGTCACACTTAAGGCTGCTGTCCTACCAAGCTTTTACCCACCGCACTGCTATGGCAAAAGAGCGTGTTCTCCAATGACAAAGAGAAAACCATAACTCAAAATGAGATGATGCTTTTACCCAGTTTTCTCCAAATAACACTCATGGGAAAAGACAGCACATCAACAGTTAGACTGAAAGGATATTATTAACTCTTTTAAACAAAATAATAAAGGCAAAGTAAAAATCAAGAAAAATGGTAAAATCAAATTACACTAGCTTATTGCTGGCAAACTTCAAAACCTTCTGGGCAGAAGGCTGTTTACATCTATAGCTAGTAACTGCAGCCCCTTCTTTCCCTGTCTGACAGGAAGGGAACTGACTCCAGAATTAAAGGCAGTTCTCTCTTCCCTAAATAGAGGAGAAACATTTGGTGGGGTGGAGAAAGGTTAATATGAAAACAGAGGAGCCCAGGGACATTTTTTCTGAAGCTGGACAGCAGTAGTTGCTTTAAGCATTGTGGCTGCTTTCACATGAGCCGTTAACCTCATTTTTACCTCTTATGACAGTAGCACTCCTTAAGTTTCTATTATGGCTGCGTGGTCATACATTCACAAAGTAAAAACCTCTCAGAGAAGAAGCAAAGTTGCAGAAAACTGAGGCAGAGGACAAGCAAACAGTGATAAAGTACTTGGCTCAACACAAGTTGAGTGCAGCACACTTTCCCCAATCCACTTAACACGCAGAGAACTGAAGACTTAACCCAAGTGCATATTGCCCAGGTGACCCAAACTCTTTCTTTTATGCCTGCATTCAATTTTGTTCATGCTTTGAGACTCCTGTTAACCTGAGACTCCTGTAAAATAACCACCAACCGCAACTGATTTCTTCCAAATCAGTCCATTGTTACAGTTTTCATGGGCCCAGCACCAGACCATCCTGCTCTGGAGCTGCCAGGCTGCCTGGTTAGCATGTACCTAGGTTCGTTCTGAACACCAGACTCACTGATTCACACTCCAGCCCAGGTAAAGAGGGCATCCCTTCAAATTCTGTGGCAGAAGACACCTCAAGGATAAGCCAGTAGTTTAGTGGGGTCCCAGCCTTCTACCTGCATTGTTTGTAGGGATTTGGAGCCGAGGCTACAAGCGGATATCCCAAACTCACCTCTTCTATGGCATACACGAGTGTTTAACAACAGCTATGGCACAGTCACAGCTCAATGGACAGAAGGCATGAAAGTCAGGAGGCTCAGGGCACTTGAAATGTTCCTTATGACCTGTTCCTTACCTTACCATGCAGATGTAGCCACAGTAACAGGAAACTCACCTTCCATCCTCTGATGTAAGACTGCACTATAATAGCCGAACTCTTTATCTTCTGATACTTTTTTTGTTGCTGTATTGGAAATAAATGTGATGCTCAGAACAGAATATTGTAACTGTAGAATATTGTCTAATAAAACTTTTATTGTTAACATTTGAAAATATGATTAAGGATAAGATTATGCACTAAATGTAAAAAGTGAAAAAATCTTGACCAAGCAGACCAGAGTGTAGATCCTGTGTTCAACTCGAGGGGAAACAAAGCACAGCAACAATGCTGCATGGACAATGTCACACTGTTTACAGAAACACTAAGTTCATGGTCAGCAGCACAAAAGTGACATGGATTAAATACTAACAGCAACAGCTTTATTTGTCTTTTCCACTAACAGAGTGGCATACCAACCATCACAAATGCTCAGGTTTGTTGGCTAAGCTTTTTACCATCTTTTCACAAGACCTGTGCTGTTCCTGTTACCCGCAGTCCTTTTATAATACCAAATGCTAATGATAACTTAGGAATAGGAAAAAAAACCCATGGATTCCTGAATGACATGCTGGAGTATTATCCCAGTATGCCAGATTGAACAATAAACTTCCTGGAGGGCTGAGCATTTTCCTTCTAAAAATCTAATTTCTCCAGTAGATCAGTACTAAGTGAACAACAGTTGTAGACTCCGCAACAAGGCTTTTAGACTTCACAGAGAAGGGCCACCAGGATGATCCGAGGGCTGGAGCACCTCTCCTACGAGGACAGGCTGAGAGAGTTGGGGCTGTTCAGCCTGGAAAAGAGAAGGCTCCGGGGAGATCTTATAGCGGCCTTCCAGTACCTGAAGGGGGCCTACAAGAAAGCTGGTGAAGGACTTTTCATAAGGGCAATTAATGACAAAACAAGGGGAAATGGGTTTAAGCTGAAAGAGGGGAGGTTTAGATTGGATATTAAGAAGAAGTTTTTCACTGTGAGGGTGGTCAGACACTGGAACAGGTTGCCCAAGGAAGCTGTGGATGCCCCCTCCCTGGAAGTGTTTCAGGCCAGGCTGGATGAGGCTTTGAGCAACCTGGTTTTGTGGAAGGTGTCCCTGCTGATGGCATGGGGGGTTGGAACTAGATGATCTTTAAGGTCCCTTCCAATCCTAACCATTCTATGATTCTATGTCACGGGCATGTTCACGCCATGACTGATGTCTGTCATGCCTTGTGAGGAACAAACAGGCAGCTATCGGCAGATCCTTTAGCCAAGCCTCCAACACAAGTCATTGTGAAAAAGCTTTGTTCATGGAAGGGATACATATTCTTTATGAAACCTTCCAAATCACAGTGCTTAACAGTCATGTTGGGTTAGGAGAATGGTGCCCTCCATTTATGTGAAGAGGCTCAGGAAATATCTCTGTCATCACCTGTATGTAATTTTGAGGGTCTTGCTATGACTTGATCCTGCATTCAAGGACAATTGCTGCCATGTCTCACCAGTGAACCAATAAAGGTCTAGAGTTAAGAAATCAACAATGACGTGAACTTGTCACGTATTTGTTTTCATTTCTTTACGTTAAAAGTGGTGCCAATCTAGCTGTGGTAACTCCATTTTTAATTCATTAAGATTGCACAAGATCATAATGAAGCCATATGGGCACAATACAACTCTATAATAACGCTGTTTGTAGAAATGGTGCATTCAATCACAGAAATTCAGAGAGAAGAGTTTTTACAGTGAAAAAGCATTCGTTCATACTTTTCCCAAATTATCTATACTTCTCTCTAATTAGCAAAGATAACTGAACCAGACACTAATGGCTTTCAAGATGATAAACAGCAGTGCTCATCAACTGAAAAACAGTGATTGTCAATTCTGCAACTTGCCGTTTAAAATGCTTTCCTTCCATATCATACATTTTATCAAGCTTCCTGATATGCACACAATAACAAACGCAGCTCAGATGTTTAGGAAATGTTTTAAAACTTAAAAATAATAAATCTTTTTTTATCATATAAGTCAATGTTATTTACCAACTGATGAAAAGACATGAAAAGAGTCATTTAACAGTTCTGTTCAGTTCATGACACAGAACACCCAGTCTACAAACAGATTTGAAACTGTTTTATCAATAGCAACTACTGAACTACGAGTCTTATGAGCTATAATTAAAATAAATCCCTGGGATCCTCCCAAGCAGCATTCTTGAGCCTCAAATGCAAAGGTTCCAAATAAGGCAAAAATACAAAAAGCCTTAGGAATGACTGAATTCCACAGAACTGCACATGTATATTACCAAACATTTTTTACACATTAACTGTATGTTTTGAGAGCACTCTTAGTGCCAGTTAGCACAGCATTGTAGCTGAATGAAAAAGACTCTTCCCAGCTGGGCCACAAAATCCTGCTCACCCAGAGCTAAAAGGCTCTGGTGAGATTTTTTAATTATTTAAGCGCAAACAAAATACTTAATAGTGGTCTCTAGAAACTAAATTTTATTCACATTTTCAGTACTTAAATACTAACATAAAATTGAATTCTTTCAACACTTCTCCATACATATAAAGGAAAAATATCATATGAGGGTCATATGAAATATCATATCAAGGTTATACGAAAAAACATCTTAAACAATAAAAAGAACCCCCCATTTAGTAAGGATATTATCTTACTGCATATCTCCGGTACCAAGAAGCAATCACAATCTGGCTTTTTTTCATTAACAAGAAGCGTGTGCGGCACTTCCAACCTCTATAAATCTTCTCAATTAGAGTAGCCAAGTCCTCCAACCGCTGCTTTCTCAGATCTTCTAGCTTGAAGAGCTGGATGTAGGGTTTTTTTAGGGTTTTGACATTGGAAGAAAAACAGTAGGGGAGAAAAGACAAAAAAAACCCATAAGCACATCAATTGTAGGAGAAATTTCTTTTTTATTCAAGTCCCCCTTCCAACATCTTTTGGTTTATTCATCTCCAGAGCTATAGGCAGATATATCAACAAGGTTTGTTGCAGGTATGTTGCCACAAGTCAGTGCATGAGAGTTACAATAAATTCAGGCTGACAGCTACTGTAGAGTCTTGATTCACACCAATTTTAATGGGTCTAACATTAAAAAGTGCCTTTTAAAATGTTATATTCCACAGCAGTATATCAAAGCACCCTATCTAGAAAAACCTGCAGTAACCATCTAGTGAATTATGCAGTTCATAATGGGCTATCCTCATGAAAGATGGCCTGATTTTGCAGGGAAAGACATTTTTCACTTACCGTTCTTGGGTTGCGAATGAATATCTTTGATCTACCAAATGAAAATTCTTCTTCAGGGATTTCCAATTCATTAAACAGTACCTCTACTCCAGCCCTAATAAGAAGTAAATGAGCTTAACAAACATGACCTCCAGCTGTAAGACTTCTTAGTTTACATATTCACAGATTCATTTATGGAAAGTATATGAAAGCATATTTTCAATTCTTAAATAGTGCTTGACATAAGAAGACTGAAAACATAACTCATTTACTTACTGGTTATTTAGCTAAAGGCAAGAATAATCACTGTAAAGATTCAGAATAATTTGGTGAAAAAGAGCCATTTTTATTTAATATCATCAGCAATGGCCTATTTTTTCCTCTTACATCTATAATGATTTTACTTTTAAAAAAATAAAAATAAAAAAAGGAAGGGCACTCATACTAATGTCAAAATGTGAAACAAAACTGACACGTTTGAGAAACACTAATGGTCCATACTGCACCAACTGCATTTTATAAATGTCAACAAAAAAGAAAAGAAAGGAATCACACAGAACTTTGTGAGGATTAAACAATGCTATTGTTATCAATACTGCACTTTCAACGTTATCTTGATAACCTAAAAATTTAAATTGTAGCTAAAGATTAATTTATTATGAAAGAAATTGATATCATGCTATTGATGGTCACATGTAAAAAGAATTAAGAGAAGCCCATTTGCATACACAAGTCATAATCTGTAAAAATATATGTGAACACTATGCAATTTAAAATTACATGTTTAATACAACTGATTTGCAAGACGTATTATCTCACAGTTGTTCACAAATCATTATATAAATTTTTTCTTGAAAGGACAGAGGAAGATTGTGTAACTGTCTTCAAAGAAATGGGTGTTTCTATACTTTGTAAGCTGGTTATTAAAGTGTCCTTCTGATCATTCCAGACCTCCTTGTCATTTTGATTCCACTCCAGTCTCTCTCCCCCTCCCTCTCCCCTGCTCTCTTTCAGGCCCAAATCAGTAAAGGCTGCAATACATTCTAAAAACAACATGCCCTCCTTGCTCACATACAATATCTTTTCCATTAGTAGATTAGTTCAATGCTAAAATCATCTCCTTTGACAAGGAACTGTAATTGTTAGCCCACTGAAAAGTACAGGTTTCCCAGTGAATGAACTCATCCAAAATCTGGAACAAGCTGCTAATGAAGAAAATATAAGTAAAGCACTTGAGCCATGTTGGCTTAGTTGTTAATTTACTTTTAAAATACTTGAAAGTTCATTGAATTAAAAAAAAAAAAAAATCAGAACACGTGGAAGATAGTAATTGCAATTATTGGAACAGGACAGGTAAGACTACTCATGTTTTCCTACCTGGCTGGCCCTCTCCAGTGGGGCCATGTCTGCTTACACAGCATTTTGTACCTTTCCAGGCAAGGCTCGTACGCCTGCCTGAACGCATAACCTGCCCTTCTGACTCGGACATTCTCCAGGAGACCAAGGTAGCGGACCTGGTGGCACACCAGGGCATCATTGAAAACGTGTGCAGCCTTTTTGTCATTGGGTTTGATGCACCTGGAGAGGGAAACAAACAGGGACACTTGTTTGCAACATTGTATGTGTCAACAACTATTATTGTGAGCTTAGAGCACAGATTTCAACAGTTTATCCTTGGATACCAAGATTTTTTGTTTTGTTTTGGTGTGGTTTTTTTAACTTCACCAAATGTAAATTCACCGAAGCTTTGTCACAGGGTAATTTACCTAATGTAGTTTGGATTTTTTGTCTGAAGATTTTTCATCAGGGTAGCAACCGAAGCCTTGAACTGTGAACCTGCCGTTGGTGGTCTCTTTAGATTGATCTTAGCGGGGTTACCTTCTGGGAACAACGCTTTGATAAGAGAGTGACTGGCCTTCCACATGGCCTGGGAGAGGTCACGGTATAGAAGATCATTATTTTTGTCAACAAATCCTTCCACCTGGTACATAACCTGAACAATACAGAAGAGTCTCATCAGAGCATGTTCTGAACTATAACATAGGCCAGTTCAAAACAGAACCAAGAAATTGATTTCTCCTTCTTTCTCACAATCCAAAACAAACAAAAGACATTTCAACTTTCCTTTTAAATTTGACATTTGGAAGACTTTTTGTTGGATAAGATTTCTCTGAACACACTTCCCGAGAAAGACGCATTTTTCTCACACTGCTAACAGTTCTTGTGCTGACCAATTCTGGTTTCTGAAATGGAAAAAACTCTTCTTCTATGAGAACTCTGATACACCATTGTTTGCCAGTACTCCAAAGCAATCGTTTTTTGGCTGACAAAAGGTCTTCTCCCTCTCTTTTGGATCACAACAGCAAAAATACCCTTTTCCTTCAAAGTACTAACGCTTACATTATTTGCCTAACTAAAACAAGATATGAAATATCTCTTGATACCTCTTGATATCGCAGCAGCAAGCAGCTATCTGTGCAGTCTGCAGGGGACTGTTATTTTAAAGGACTTTTACTGGGAAAACAGTCCAACAACAAGAAGCACGAATGCAAAGCTCTGGCCTGCAGCTGGAGACCCAGGAGGCATCCAGAAGAACTTCGTGTAGATCTTAGATTGCTACGGGCTTTTTTTTATTTTTGAGGGTAGGGAATTTAGTTTGATTAATTGTGACAAGTCATCCGGCTGGTAATATGGATTCTTCAGCTTCATGATTTCTCAGTTCTGTGTAGATATGTACTATGTACACAGAATACTGAATAAAACGAATACTGACATAGCCACCTTTTACACAACAGCAAGTGACTGGGAACTCAGGCAGTGTTTTCCTTTGGAGGACACATTTTTGTTTGATAGGTATGGTAAATGCCACTACTGAAAAAACATGTTCATATGAACTTGCTTATATTTCATAAAAGGATAATCAGACTTTTGTTGTCCAGTGACTAGATCAAAATGTTCTCAGCTGAGGATGGAAAAACAACATTCCTCCCAAAATAGGAGGAGTTCACTGACTGCTCTACTGGGTAAGTGAATGCCAGTAAAAATTGAAGACCCTCACTGTCTAAAACACAGTCCGTTTGCAGTCCTTCTCAAAACACTGGGGTATTTCCAATTCACTTTGAATTTGGACACCCGAAGTATCATCTACGTATTAATTCCTGATAGATTCTATGAAATTACAAAATATTCTTAGCAAATACATAAAGTTAACAATGGCTGCCTCAAAGGTGGAAAGCATGACATTTCCAGCACTATTTTGAATGAGCAAATTATTGAGCTATTCAAAACTGTAAGGTTGAGAAAATATTAAAAAATAGGGAAATACTAAACAGTCCTAGCAAAAACATTTTCCAAATATTTATTATTCTGTGAAACTAACAGTTCAGCAGATTCAAACAAAAATTATAGTTTCAACTCCTAAGCCTACTTTTATTTTTTCTTAGAAATAAGTTGTCTTCTTTTTACAAACTTAATTATTTTTATTTTCATTAATAAACAGTCACACTGAATTATACATCAAAAATAATCAGACTTGTATTTATTCATACTGCTTATGTTGTAAGAAGCAAATATATTTGCATGCCCTCTGTATAGCTTTCTCTTCCATCTGTTTAAACACACAGGCTGTCAAAATAAACTCAGCTCCTTCAACTGTACAAAAACTCCACTTTCTCATCAACATGACTAGCTCAGTGACAAAGAACATGTTTTTCAAAATATCTTCCCTTCAGATGTGTGTGATTTTTTGTCATTCTAAACAACATTTTTTCTTCCAGAGACCTAGCACTACCAAAGCACATGGGACTTCTTTCTCCTTTGCTGAAAGGAGTACTGCTTTTGATATCAAGTCGAGCAGCATGATCTCTGAAAACCTTTCAGAGCCCAAATCATGGCTCTTGGGCTTAAGATAGAAGTGATTAAGACAGGTCTTGATTTTTTGATCAACTATTGACTCAAGCAATTCTCCTCCATTACTGTAACATAATTTAATGGACAAAGAGCCTCCCCCAATGTTCCAAACGTAGGCTTCACATGGGTACAACACCCTCCAAACACCGCGTACTCCCGGTAAGGTACCTTGCCAGCGTAATGCTGAATCCTGAAGCAGCTATGAGGCAAGGAGGTGTCATTGAGGAACCGGGAGCACTTGCTCATCCTGCTCTCAAAATGCTGGTGAGTGGCACAGACTTGGTTCAGTTTTTCCAAAAAGGTGTCATCGGTAACAGTTCCTGGTCTCAGGCATTCTTCATCTAGCATGGCCAGGATTCCAGTTTGGTTCTGAAGTTTCAGTACAAAAGTGTTAGTGTTTGTTTCCATCACATTTCCATCAAGGTATAAAAAGGAGACCGCTCCCTCCTGTTTGAATTCTACTACCCAGAAAAATGATCTTCAAGCCATCTCTTTTCCTCATCCCCATTCCCAACAGTTTTTTAGTATCTGCGTTTTTGAAAGACTGCTTCTGAGATCTGAATCTTGAACTTCATGTTGGAATTTCATGTCATTTACTCAGACTGTAGAAACTCCAACTTAACTGAAAGTAGCCCGTTTATGGGTAAAACCAGTGTACATTTTATGTTAATTGCTAAAAACTGCTCTTTTCTGATTGTTACAGAATTTTATCTTTCTTGCTGTGCTAAGTCTATAGGAAGTCCTCTTATTAGACACAAATACTTTCTGAACCTAAAGCATTCAGTAACAATTCATTGAGTTTTCTAGTTTCCATATAAAAAAAAAATATTATTTATAATGCAGCAGGTGATATCTGCTATTGAAAACAGTACTAATGTAAACATTTAAGTGTTGTTTGGTGTTGTTTTTAGTTGGCGGGTTGGGTTTTTTTGCACAGCTGCTACTGAACATTTCTAATAAACTAAAATACAGTGTTATATTTATTTTATTTTTTTTTTTGTAAAAAGAAACTTTTACCATACAGAATAAGCTGGTTAATACAATGAATGGCTTGTTTTATAAAATCAAAGTACATGAGGATATGTACAAACTTTAAGGTTAAATTCAATCCATGCATTACAACTTTATTTAGAGAGATTCTTGAATATAACTTACATTTTCTATTAGGTCACAAATGATGGCATTGTTGAAATACTCAATATGAGTCCATTCAATCCCCTATTAGAAAAAAAAATAAAATAGTATGACCAGGAAAACAATCAAGGGAGCTTTTCCTCTAGGCAATTTAAGTTATATTCCAGTTAATTAAGATACTGTTTTCAAATTTAATTCTTTATGCTTACCAACATTTTATTTATTAAGAAAGAAACACAATCATCTACTACTAACATTATCCGTGCAAAATGAGTGTCCCTGAGTGGCTGCCAAACCCGCTCTCCATTCCTTTCCCCCACCCGTGTCAGCTTCCCATGCACTCCCTGGCACCCGGCCAGCCTCCTCCCACCACCGCTCTGCCCACGCTCCCACTGGTTATACGGAAATAAGCCCATTTCACTGCGAGCATCCAAGATCATTTCTAATCTCTTAGTTGGCTTTTTATTTTTTTAAATCAAAACAATTTTTTTTTTAACTCAATGCAACTACCATGCAGTCCTACACAAGCATGGTCCATGCCAGGCCTCTGGTCAAAAAGCAACTCCATTCCCTACAGAGAGGTTCCAGTATACATGCCTGTGTATCTTCATTACAAGGACAATGGAAAGAGGAGGGGACAAGGAAAGATCCATCAAGTATTACCTCTCGGATGTATTCCTCCTGCTCTTCTTTGAGGGTCAGTTCAATGAAGATCTGCTGCAACTTCTCATTACAGTAGTTGATAATGAATTGCTCAAAGCTGTTGTCCTGTCAGATAAAACATGTTTGCATTTGCTGTTGTGTAAACACCCTGGAACTGAGCTGGAGTAAGTTACTGCAGCAGCTGCAAGTCAACAAGCCGCTTTAGTAACTACTCCTTCCAGCTTTACGATGTGATGGTTTGAGTAACATTTGATTGAGAATGAGATTAGTTTGGAGATTTTAGACAAAATCTTTCCCTGAGGCTTTCGCCTTTGGGAGGGACAAAACCGTAGGTTTATATTCATGATGCCTCTATATTAATTCCTTGGGACAAATCATAAGGAGGCCTGTGGTGTCAGGCAATAACCAACAAAAGTTTTGCCTACACTAATCTGTCCCCATGTGTAAAACAGCCTCTGACAGGTTCTCATAATTAAAATTATGAAGGAGCATCAGCTCTTTTCCAACCAGGATCACCCAGTAGCCAGTAAAGTACCCTATTTCACTACAGACCAAGGCCCAAGTTATCCGGGTTGCAGTGGAGCCTAGGTTAAGAGATTATTGACTGCAGAGGGCAACCCACTGCCTCCCTGCCAGTGAACTGCTCATGTAATTGCCTCCTGAAATGATGGGAATGAAAAGAACTTTATCAATCAAAAAACCTTTAAAAAGCTAACTCTTATACAACTGGGTTAGGGAGCAAAAATATGTGTGACTCTTTGCAGCAGGGATGGCCACTGCAAGCCCCTAAATACTGCAGATAAAGCCCTTGCACTCAAGTCAACTGAAGTTTTACTGCTAACATCACTATGGCCAAGACTGCAGCATAAAAGCTGTGGTTCACCACTTCATCACCATTAGCTTAAATGAGTGCAGTTTGGACGCCAGGTGCCCATTTTGAGGATCTGTTTAAGATGCTCATTTCAAAGAAAAAGAGAACAGCAGCTTCATTTTTTTTTTCTAGTGCTTGAAAGAGTCACTAATACTGTAAGAATTCCATACATGTATCTGCAGAAATAACTGCCATCAAGAGTAATTTTCAGTATCTGCTGCTGGTCTTCTTGGCTTTGTGGTTGTGCGGTTCCTTCCCCCCAGCTCTTATTTTTTTCCTTTCTTAATCACTGGTCAGCAATAACACTTTGGTTATTTAGGAAGTCTGAAAACTTACAGAATAAACCACTATGCCTTTTTACACTATCAGATAAGTCTGCTACACAATACCTGTGAAGCTCAAGTTATGGTGACAGAATTTTTATGACTAAGGCAACTGCAATCATTTAAATGCTTAAATTAAGGACCTGGTTGCTAAATGAGATTAAGAACACACAAGCAGATTAGAAAATATTGAGGTAGCACAAATTATTTTTATCATTTTAGTTACAGGTGAAGCAAAATCATAGCTGATCACCAAACTTTCTCAGCCACACCAAACTTTGCCCCTCATACCAACTGCAATTATCAATCAGAGATTGCAAAACTTGCATAGCTCTAGATGAGAAAGTTAAAATTTGGCATGCACCAAAATCAGCACTGCAAACAAGTCATACTTACTGCATTCTGTTGCAAAAAGAAATTACATAAACTGCAGTCAGTACTTATACTACTTCCATAACAACACAATATCTATTAGCATTTACTTTGCACATCAAGTCTTTTTATCAGATTCACAGAATCACAGAATTGTTTTAGTTGGAAAAGACCTTTAAAATCATTGAGTCCCACCATTATGTATTACTTCTTTGTACATGAGTGTATCTTTAGGTACTACCCAAATTTTATCAAATAAACCAAGGAATTGAGGCACATTAGAGTCTAACAGAACAGTATTCTTGCATTGTCATGTCTCTAAATGACCATGTATCCTTTGTCTCAAAAAGCCACATATATAACCTTCAGTAGACAAATCTCAGTAAAGGGAGAGGAGAACAGGGAAGGGGAGAGAGAGTACTGGAGGAAGAATGAGTAAAAGTTTATGACACATTCAGATAAGGCAATCACTTTAGATATATTGAGTTTGAAGCAAAAGGACCCCAACTGACACATCACCTTGGCAAAGAGGAAGGGTAAAATACACTCCGTATCCTCCTGCCAGGCAAGTGCCACCCAACACAGAAAGACTGTTTCTCCGAAAGATCATGTTATTCCAGTTACAAGGACTGGAGGACCTTTCACTCACATATACAGTCCTTGTCTTCAAAAGACGATGGAAACTGAACTTCAAACCCAGCTAAACCATCTAACTAAAATGTCATCAACAATACATTAAAGTAATTGCTAGATGTTTTCCTGATTTGCCATGTATCTGTAATATTTATGGTTTGCCAAAGAAAGGCAAACCAAAATACAGTTCTTCACAAATCACTCGCTTTAAGCTATGAAATTCTATTTGATGTTGCCAAGCCACTGAAAATTGCTATTCCAGGAAAAAAGTCATTGAAGAGCAGTAGCGATTTTGGTCTTTATGTACGATACAGAGCAAAAGGCTAACAGTTAATTACAGCAAAGAAAATGAGGAAATATGTTTGGAATCACTGAAATTCTCAAAACACTTAACTCTGAACAGACCAGGAGACATTTCGTAAACTAAATACACTTCAGAAAGAGGCATTTCCTACAGGTTTTAAGAAACACTAGGGAAAAAACTATTAGTGTGCTTATCCCTGGACATATCTGAATAAGGCAACAGAGATTCTGTGAATTTATTCTCTCTTATTGCATATCTATAATTTTTTATTGTGCAGAGGCCTCACAAATGAATTATCCCCCAATATTTTAATGAAGGTTCCTAGAAAATAATATGATAAAACTAGAAGGGATCTAAAAGATTTCTGAGGTTTTTTCTTTTTCCAGAAGACAATAGAGGATGGTTAATAACAGTGACAGCACATCACTAATTCAGGAGAAACAGTCTGGGAGGATCCAGCCATCAAGAAACTGTACTCGCTCCTTATGGTGGCATTTAGCGCCAGAAAGGGTTTTGACAAACACAGAAGCAGCACAGTCAGACCCAAAATTTCAGGCAGAGTTAGTAAATGCAAATATTCTTAGGAAATTTTAGAAAAAAAAATAATATTTAAGCCCAGCACATATCAAGTGCTGAAGAGTGTCACCTTCTCTGCCAGGCTGTAATTCTGCTACTTTAATGTTGAGAGCACCACTTCAATCCCTGCATTTTTATAGTAGCATTTCAAACTATCCCTTTGAAATCACTGTGGAATACAAAATGTAACCTTTGGGGAAGGAAAAACCACTCAGTCTCTCAAATTAAATTAAAGGTGCTGGGAAATAGAATGTCACTTGTGATAGGCTTAAAGTCATGTCAAAATTATAGACACAGATCAAGCAACCACCCTCAGCTTATTCTCTCAATATTTTATCAGGTGCAGCAATAAATTTAGACAAGTAGAAAAATTCACTTACAAAAATTCAAAGCTTATTTCACCATGTTTTTCACCTCACAAATAACGGTGTCTTGCTTATACCATTTTATTCTTTATCAGTCTTCGGACTACTGGGCATCAGGGTTGCACTTCATGAATACCAAGTTTTTGAACTCTAAAAAAATCTGCTCCACGCAAAAATATAGTGCTTAAACAAAATAAGCAGATCATGATGTTGTACTCACACAGGTTGTTGGAGTCAACCATGAAAAGAAAAAAGCTCTAGTTTTGAACCACTGCTATTACATGAATTACACACAGGTGTTTTAAAAAAAATCTATGGAAAATATTTTTTGTTCCTTAATATTTTACCTAATTTCTTCTTTGGAAGATTCCAGTCATGCGTATCATGGAATTATCTGAAAAAACATATATAGAATCATAGAATCATTTAGGTTGGAAAAGACCTTTAAGATCATTGAGTCCAACTGTAAACCTAACATTGTCAAGTCCACCACTAAACCCTGTCCCTAAATGCCACATCTACACATCTCTTAAATACCTCAAGGGCTGGTGACTCAACCACTTCCCCAGGCAGCCTATTCCACTGCCTGATAACCCTTTCAGTAACAATCTAAACCTCCTTTGGCACAACTTTGAGGCCATTCACTCTCATCCTATCACTTGCTACTTGGGAGAAGAGACAGAGACCCACCTCACTACAACCTCCTTTCAGGTAGTCCTAAACAGCAAGGTCTCCCCTCAGCCTCCTTTTCTCCACACTAAACATCCTCAGTTCCCTCAGCCACTCCTCACAGGACTTGTGCTCTAGACCCTTCACCAGTTTCGTTACTCTTCTTTGGACGTACAGGTGTTCCTGACCTTATACATTGTTACAGCAGTAAAATACCAGCAGCAAGCAGACAAAAAAACCCCCCACATTTCTTGCATTAGATTTACAAACACAAATTATCTAAAATGGGCCATTTTCCTAGGAAATCCAGCTACCTTCTAACCTTCTCTCCCCACAGAGAATTCAAATTTACCTTTGAGTACTCAGTTTCTCCAGTGATTTTCACAGACACTGAGGCAACTAAAATAGCTATTTAAAACTGAAAACTGGGTACTTTTCCATACTAGTAGGTAGGAATAAATTCTGATCTTCCACCCACCTATGTCACCTGCCTAATAAAGTCGAGGTGTTCCATCTCCTTGTGTCCTTTCCACTTCACTGTTTTCCCCAATTTAAACAGATTTTGTTCATCCAAATCTACAATCTCAGCTATGTCATCAGTATCCTCCTTCTTAATCTTTCATTACACTAGTTCTTGTTGAGAGCCAACTAAAAAATCTACATATTGCTCAGTCTACAACCACAATGACAAAAAGTTGTTCAGCAACACTTTTTCAAATACCTTCTATGAACACAAACAACTAAAAAATACATGAGACGTATTTAATGGAAAAGTACCATTTAAAACAAAACCTAAACATTTCAAGTCCTGAGACTGACGAAATCAACAGAACCAATGCCATTAAAATTAACTTTTTTATCAACATGGAGGGGAAAAAAGAGACTAACGGTTTTGTTCTAACACATACAGCCCCACAAAGCAACTTTTTTCAACATCAACGCAGCCCTGGCCATCAGAAGTCTCTGACCTTGTCCTAGCAGGTGATCACAGG